AGTTGCTTTTCCTATAGAAACTTAGATCATCAAAATCAGTATCTTAGAGCAGATGTTATGCATTTTGACCACTATAGATTTTAACTGAGATGAAAAGTTCTCCATGTAGATGGCTATGAAGTCAACTAATGAGAAGAAATAGAGGAACAAGTGACTTTTCTTTCTAAATCGTCAAACGATGAGGTCATAATTTTGATTCCCACTCTTCTTAAATGTTAAATGTGAAACTTGAAGGTCCAAGTTTTGACCTTGGCGGGTTATGAGTGCGCACTTCTGAGGACTTCTACTTTGGGACGAGACAACTGTTTGCTGCTTCCAGGTTATCATTTGTTCTCCAACTGATGTCAATCCATGATTAAAACAACCCTGAAATAAAATCCTCATGAACCTCAAATGAAGTTCTTGTGTGGTGCTCGTCCGCAACATGCTTGGAGATTTCCTGAAGTTCTAGTGAGAGGTTATGACAAGTGGGGGGAATCAAGCCAGATATGGGAACAATTACTCAGCAATGGCATTAGATGAAGGTTGCGCTATATCACAGAGTAGGCAAGTGTTGACCTTCTAATTCTCATCCAAGGGCTGAATAGTAATGTGCTCTCCACGGAACCTGAAGGTCATGGGTTAGGTACCTGAAGTGTCATGGGTGCGCACTCCTGAGGATTCCCAAATGAGTGGGGAACGGCTGTCCAGTACTTGCAGGTTTCATTTGTTCTCCAAATGATGTCATTTCATGATGGGTGCAACCTTGACATAAATTTCTGTTAACAAAGACATTTATAAAGCTTGATAACAAGCATTGCGAATCGTATCTGTAAGCAGATATGTGCACGTTAGCAAGCTTCCAAGGATCGATAGTTTGTTGTGTAATAGTAGTCAGTTCGTCTACATGAACAAAGATACCACTGGATAAAATTATTGCGTTATCTTTTAGAAAAACAGTTAATCATTCTTTTTTGCTGTTTTCGCAACCACTGCTATAATCCTTTTTATAAGAATGAATTTACTGTGATCGATATTATCTTAATTCATGAATTATTAGAAAAAAGGTATAGTTTACTGCTAATATACCTTTAAGCAGAAAAATCATTACAATATTAATTTTGCTTCTCTTCAGTATTTCAAACTTCTTGCCCAAGAAACATGAGCAGATTGGTATTCATCATGGACTGACATTAGTTGAAAAAACATTGGGACCTGTGCGCCCTGGGCAGTCGTTTCGTCCCAGTAAGGGACTCCTCAGTAGTGTGAAGCCATGGATACGCACTCTTGAGGAGTCTCCTGCTAGGACGAAACAGCTGCCCAGCGCGCACAGATTTCCAATGTTTCTCAAATTGATATCAGTCCATGATGAATTCCAACCTGAGCTTAATAAATAAATCTCTACAAACCTCCAAACTGAATCACCAACAGGGTGTACACGTATTTACAGAGGAGTATCAAATGCCAATAAACTGGGTCATTAAGGACTATGCGCTTATACCAATAGTGAAAGTGCTTGACTTGTAATACTTTTAGACTTATAAAACCAGTGAGTTTACATCTGAAACCAATGCAGAAAGTAATCTCTTTCTCCGGTTGGGGTTATTTGCATGTTTTTCCTATGAGCATTGTTTGAGTTGACTTCTAATTTTTACAAAGAATCCAAAAACTTCTACGATACTCAAATAAGTTTCATTTTTAGTGAGACTTTAAGGTGAACTGTTTCTATTTGTCCATAGTCTGTATTTAAATTAGAAAACTAAACGATTGACAGTGATTGACTATAATGTAGGTGTGGTTTTGAAAATTCAACTCGTTTACATTCTTCTAGTTCATATTTCCAGGGAACACAAGTCCATTCATCATATTCAAGTTAGTTAGCGGAGTGTGACTGATAATTTTCCGGTAAATGTAACTGTCTCTGTTCAAGGAACTAGTCTGAAGCTTTTCTTATCCTTTCAATCCCACTATTATTCCTACCATATATTCTTTAATCTGTTTAAAACTAAAATTATTTTAATCTTTTAAATCTGAGCACAAATTAGTTAGAATCATCATATTCCTGTTTCAATTTAACCCTAGCAATTACCGCTACTCCCATTACTAGTGATTTAGTGGTTGCGTATATTATTATTATTATTTTTCCCCTGGGTTCCTAGTGGAACATAGGGCTTGACTAGCACGCCTCCCTTTGAATTCCACTGAAAGACCTGGCTCAGCGCGTGATGTCCCCAGTCAGCTTTCTCACTGTATGCCACATCCAATTCATCTCCACTTCCTTCTGCATATTTGTTGAGTGATAGGTTCTTGGTTGGTTCGTTACCAGACAGAGTGAGTTCCTTGTTGCTCATTTTTCTGGCCATCTGATCTTCAGTATCGAGTGAGCTTAGACGACAGCTGTTGATCAATGTCTGTGGCTTGTTGAGGCGCTTTTCGTGACGCTTCAAGTTTGTGAACCCTATAACAGCACTGACTTGACATTAGTGTTGAAAATCCAGATGTTGTTCTTTGTGTTGAGTGCAGTAGATCTCTACACTGATTTCAGATTAGTGGAAGCCTGTCTTGCTGTCTTTCCGATCCCGGTTTTGACATTCTTATCTGTGCCGCTGAGTTGTAACGATGGTGCCTCGGTAGGTGAAAGAGACTACTTCCTTTAGATTCCTCCCGTTAATGGTAATTGGTGCTTGTTGTTGATGCTTGAAGTCTCGTTTTCGCTGCCTCTTCTGTCAACTTGTTAGTTTTCGCCTGTAGATCGTCAAGTTTGTGCGTATACGGTGTCACAATTGCATCTTAACTTCTGCTGGGAAATTGTTTATTTATTTATTCATTTATTGTACGAAATTCAAAACCTTGTCAGTGGTAAGAAGATTTACTAAACGCTTATCTTACTTTGGACAGCGGGAGTGTAACTTAATGAACATTCCAAAGATCAAATGAAATGTGTTTAACCTTTCTTTGCCTTTCTTGGCGAAAACTTCTTTGAACGGTGGTATACTTAGGGATAACCAAATATCTTTATGAACCACCTAGTAATTATTAAACTTTCCGATTAGCTCGCAGACACACCAAGCAGAATAGACTCGATCTATTTACAAATATCCAATAAACGTTTGTCTAGCTGGGGAAAATGAGATGGTGGTAGTGGTGAACTATTTGACAATTCGTATATGTAGACTATAATAATAACCTATTCAATGGTAAGTTTATTCATCTATTATGAGCAGTCACGTCGGATAGATTGTAAGACGTTGAAACATGCTAAAGATGAGTCTGAAGACGAATTCAATAGAATTCATACTTTGTAAAGAAAAAGTTGAACCAATTTACTTTAAAAAAGAACCTGATGAGTTCTGCTGATCAGTATGAACAGAATGGCAACATCTGGAACATTTGAATAAAAAAAATTCCACTTTGAATTTGTCATCTTTTCTTTCAATCATAGTCTGAGTTAACTACTAAAAAAGGTACTGATTTTCAATGTAAGAAAAGGTGTCTGGAAAACTTTTGAAATTATTAGGTTTTTTCCTTGTTCTTCTTGATGTTTTTTCTATTACTGTTAAAAGATGGATAAACCTGATTATAAAAGCTTTGTATTATAAAGTAAAAACAATTGTTCACATAACTGAGATCATTCAACCGAACATTAAGGTTTTTCATGTGTACCAATGAGTTTAGACAAATACAGCAGTAGACATGAGTACATGAGACATGAGCACATACAAACTACCTTTAAAAGTATTTCATATTTTTGCAGAGTAAGAATACTCCTGTGTCAAAGTTATACCATAGTAGCAGTGTTATATGCCAGAAGAAAATGATACCTTGGATAACATTCCATTGTTGCATAGACATACACTTACGCTCAAAAAACTAGTCTATATTCACAGTCATCTGATCAACTTATACTGGTTATTATGTTGATTTAACTGATACATTTCTTCTAACAAATATCATGTTATATATTGTGACCAAGAATTATTTTGTGATTGATTGAGTTTAGTTTCACTGTGATTACTGCTTTTTTTGGCATGATCTTTTCTATTTCTTCCTACAAATTAATCATACAATAAATCGAAAAACATATTAGAATGGTTTGTGTGAGTTGTAAAACTCCACACCATCTTCATTCTGTGCAACGATCAAAAAGAAAGTGGGCTGAGATTATCTGACGTTTATATGTTCCTGATGAAATCGATGTGGACGAATAAAACAGAAGTGGCAAAACCTCAACAAGCTGCTTGGCATTCTTAGCACAAAAGTGTTTTTCGCGCCACAACTTTTACATTTGAGACATTCAGTTAATATAAAGTAAACAGAAACAGTCACTATCGATTATACCGACTATGCAACTTGAATTACATAAGTATATATTCTAAAAAACAACATATGAACCTAATGAAACTTTGAAATACTAATTTAGAGGTTAAATAGCACGTTCAAAGTCATGAATAAGATCTTTACGCAAATATCAAAACAAATCAGATATAGAACTTATTTATCTAGTTGCATTTGTTCTATGATCTCTCCCGAGTTACATAAGCACAGATGCCACACACAGTAAGACTTACTGACTTAAGTATATGAGCTAGACTGCTAAAGGAATTTTCAAAAGTTTTTACATGCCAATTATTTTTCGATAGAGCAAAAGACATTTTAACTTAAAGAGTTGATTACTGGGGTAAATACAGTTCCACAGTCAGTCTTTACTGTAAACCTAAAACGACCCACCTTTCCTTTGAATGTATATGATGTAGATTCGATTATTCATACTGACATATCAAAGAAATATAGGAATTCGCTACCGTTACGTAATAGAAGATGAGTTGGAGTCCGACAGTTACTTTTTAACCCACCTTCTACTTGATCAGGTAGACTTTGAAGACTTTGGGGTTAGAACTCTGCATCTTTGAACACCTTTCTCGTCTAAATACCTAATTTTTAAAGTAGAATCTGTCACAAGTAACTCATTCATTAATAAACCTGTCAATGTGTGTATTGCTTCATACTCGTCAATTACTTACCGAGAGTATTCATTCTCAGAAATAGGCCTTGTACTGGTTCTCGGTATGGTTTTTTCTAGATAACAAAAAAGTTTTTAAAAAAATGTAGTGAATTTGTTGTAAAAGGAGAAATCTATTTGAACATATCGCTTTTAAACGACGTATATTGTTGAGAGATACAAAAGGCTTCAGCTGGATTCTCTTTGAGATAACTCCTGCCTCAGTTGAAGGAATCCTCAAGTCTTTGGATTAGTGGGGTTGACACAAAGTCTTATCTGTAAACGGTGTTGTGAGGGCCAGATACTTATCTGATAAAAATTAAAGTGTATTGAATATTCTGATATTTCGAATAAAAATATTATCTAACCCCTTTCTTGTTTTCTGTAATCTTTCCTACATCACATGGTCACCAGGGAGACCATATTCACATTCAGAAGTCAATTAATTTGAGAAAATACGTATTTCCATCAAAGTGCCATTGCACATGGGGTGCCTTTTAAATTGAGTTACTGCACATATTATAGCTTTGGAGACTAGGAAAAAGTATCACAATAACTTGTTGAATTACGTAATACGGAAGTCTAGAAATACATCAGACAAAAATAGTAGTTCAATTAAAAAAATTTCGTTAAGGGCACCAGTAATTAAGTTACAGAAGGTCTTTGAAAATCGATATTTCCACCTACATATTACGATAGAAGCGGGATTTCAAAAACTGTGATCAACTACATTGACTGGTTACTAGAAGGTTGCCAACTTCATTTGGTCCAGTCCTAAGTGCTGATTAAATTCTGTTAATCACTTCGCAATGTGACCACCTGGCTAGGAGGTTAACTATTGCTGTGCTCTGCTCAGCTAACATCTATCTCAGAGTATTAGAATGGTGAACCTCCTAGCCAAATAGTCACATTACGAAATGATAGACAGAGTTTGATCAGCGCTTAGGAAAAGACTACATGAAGTTGGTTACCCGCCTACTGCAACACTGGGTGACGTGAGTTTAAACCTCAGACGGAACAACTATTCTGTCAAGCCTGCAGACAAGCTTTACTGAGGACTGTCAAAAAGAGCGAGACCTTAGTCAAGCACAGCCTCGTGTCGATTGCCTCCATCCAGCTAACACTGATCAACTTCACACAAAATAGCCTGAAGGATACTTTTCACTGCTGCTACATTAAAAGTACGCCTTATACAGAGAGTTAATCTGCTTATGAATGCAAACAATGGGGTTATCCAACCGTAGAAATGTTTGCGTATGCGAAAGTTCAAGTGGTCCTGTAAATCTAAACATCTTGAATATAATGTGAGTACTCACTATCTCCTTCGATGCCATTAAAGCGTTTATCGGTATAGTTAAGTAAGCCGAAAATCAAGATAGCTATTCGTTTCATGTAGACATATTCGTATCACGATAGATCATTCAGCTGACAAGTATCGCCCTTTTCCGGGTGTTTGTGAGCTGTAATGTGATATGTTTATAGTGAAGCTTGATTACTTTGCTATGGGCACGAGGATTAAATATTGTTGTGATCATTTTTCATACTTTATTTGCTCAACTTGGAAATTCTCTAACTGGCACAGTACAAGGTCAGCATTTTCGATTTTTTTCTCACTGTATTTTTAAATACCGTGCGGAGTATAGCATAGCTATCTTCTTGATTAAGAAAACAAGGATTCCTATCAAGATATTTCAGCTGAATAATCTATATCATTGTTAGTATCTAATTAACTGTAGGCGAAGTCACCCGTAAGGAACAGTTAGTTCAGTTAGGCCTCAGCTTGCTGCCTGACTATAAAATGCCCTCCTGTGTCTACCTTCAGAAAAAAACTGAGTGAATATGACACCAGGGGTTACTACTTCACAAGTATTTTTCAGTTATCAATGTATTTTTCAACTGTTAGGCTCATGCCAGTAATTTACAAGGGATAAGGATTTCTGTTAAGAGTAGAGTATTTTTCACTGACTACTCTTAGGAGTGTGATGACTTCTTTAATTCATGACATCGTATTATGATCTTAGTGAATAAATTAGCCAACAGATTTTGGTAGGTGAACAATGAGAGTATTATTGAAATTTCAAAGTAATTTGATAAGCGCCTTTCAGTGACCCTATCAGCTTAATACAGTGATGCTTAACTGTCTACACAACAGCAGTGATCATTTTAAAAAGACAGCATTTTTCAGAGGTATCAAGCAGTGCAGTTATGTTTATTTAACATTAGAATGAAATAAGCATAAATCGGTAGGGAATTATCGGATGCTTTCCATTCTGTTTCATATTTATGGAAAAAGAAAATAAGTGAGAATAAAGGTCTCATATATATCTAAAAGTCGAGATATAGGAAAGGTTTTGTGAATTTCGAAGTCTGAAAAACAACACCTATTTAGGTGATGTATACAGACTTGAATTTTTTTCAGAGCGAATGGACTGAACAGAGCCTTTACGTAAGACATGGTAACTATTACATTTAGGAAAGCACTCTAGGTAGGTAGGTAGGTTATTCATTGATTTCTTTTGACTCACAAACTATCATTAGGTCATTTAATCAGAAAAAGGATAAACATTGGCAGCTGCTACCTTGATATGGTGGTCAAGATAATATATCTCAGTTACCTAGAGAGCTATGCTAGTGGAGAGATTTGTTCCTTGAGGTCCTGACTTACCAGAAAGATTTGTTGGATAGTGATACGACACAGCTGACTTTGTACTGTGGACGGTTGCTGTCTGACAGGGGTTCGAGGGAAAAGTCACGCTGCTGGATGGATGGTATGTGACAGCAGTAAAGTGTTTCCTGTATATGACCAGCACTACCGTGATGATTACGCTGATTTTTGCATGGTCACAGGAACTAGAAAATATCAACCTCAAAACTGGCACACTCCCACTTAACCTGTGGTATTCCAGTGCAAGCGGTATAAATGTTCTTGCTGGGTTTATGACAATCACGGTTATGTCTTAAACTTACAAAACTCCATTTAAGACCAACCTCAAGCAAACGTCCCTTGAATTCTGAGTTCATCAAATTGCTATTACTAATACGCTTTCTTTTTATTTTCCTCACGAAGAAACAGTCATGCTATTTGCAGTCAGAAAGTGTTAAATGCCTGCACAATGCTATCAGCCCTTAAGTTCCCTTAAATCATTATCAACCGTTAACATCTTTGCCATCCAATCTTTCTTTGCATCCTTCGTTCAACATTCTCGTGTCATCCTGAATTTCGTCCAGCTCTGCAGCTCTTGGCAATGATTCAAGCGCAAGTAACAGCATTCTTGTTCTCCTCGGACCACACTTCAAGCCACATTTCACAGCTTTTCATGTTCATGCGCCGAGTCGAACCAGAAAAGAAGCTTTTTCAGTGAAACCCCTGGCAACTCGGACCATGGATGTACGCTGTGTGTATGAGACACCCATACAGGACCCATATTCAGTAAATAACTCAACCCCACCCACTCGGTTTCGCGAGTTTGCGAAATTCACCAGTGAGTTTCTGGAAATTCGGTGGCTAGTTCTCGTAGGTGTGGGCGTGGAGCTAAGAAAGCACACTACTCTAATGAATTTCAGTTAACAGTCATCTGTACGCTGATTGACTGAATGTTTCAGTTAGAGCTAAAAAAAGCACACTGAAACTAATCGCTGTTTTTAATCTCTGCTTGCAGTTCAGATGGAGTGAAATATAAGTGTTACTGAAAGCTGTGTGGTCTCCTGCCAAAAGCCAAACGTTGATGTGCGACTGCTGAAGCAGGCGATTTTAGTGCAAAGCTGAGTAGGCTAAGTCAGACAGTAAGGGGTGGTATTTTCCGAATCCCAATCTAAGGGACGGGTAACGGCTGTTGCCTATTAAAATTGTGTCCGGACAATTGTATATTTCTGGTCAGCATAAACTCATGGAATAGGCAGACGTTGTCTAAAGTGGTGTCCACCGACCTCAGACAAGCAGACAAATAGATGTAGAAGTTAGTACAGCAATTCATCGGTTCACATTGCCACAGTTTACAATAGGAGATGCGAATAGACCATATTCCGATCAGTTATTTCTGGAAAGGGTTAATGGGAGATCACCGTTCATTTTATAGCATTTGATTGGAAGTTGATCACGCTTTATTTTGAGCACACCTATGTCTGTGCTTAAATGGACCTAGAAAAGGTACAGCAGAAAGGGCATTCTGAGAGCAACTTGATGGTTAGAATACAAAGGTTCAATTTGAAAGGAATCTTTTTAGACAGTCAATCAGATCGGGGCAGGAACATTTAACCTAAAAACGCCTGATACCATCTTTAGTTAACTTTAAAAATGACGATAAAGATAGTAACTGACGTTCAGAAAAAAATAAGAGTTTGGGGCTCTCAGAAGCTTTCACTTAACAAGAGGATACGCGTAAAAGCATTCCAGCTACTGTGAAGGGTGAAAGCTACTGAAATGTAGACTGACGAGAAGTTTACACAATGACTATGAGCGGTGGTGGACAACTGTAAAAAAGTTAGCGGCTATGTGTAACAGTAGGCAGCTACTAAGACTGATTGGGGAAACCGGAATAAAAACAATAATTATTAGTAAGACCATAACGAATAAGCATTATTTTTTGATTCCCTCGCAGAGGAGTCGACTGAAACGATGGGTGGAACAGTTCAGTAAGCCTACAGTCACTATCGCACTACTCGCTATCCAGTCGGATCCTGAGTAGAATACAGAGAACGGCCATCCGACTCTTGCCTTAGTTGAGAAGGTTGTAAGTAACCTGAAGCCGTGAGGGGTTACCGGACCAAATGGATTTTCACCAGAGATATGTAAGGATGGTGAATGAGGGTTACTGGTTAGACCATTTAAAGTGTTAGTCAGTGCATGAGAATCAGATATGGTCCCACCTGACTTGTGTCAGTCACCTAATGTCCTAGTCTCAGAAGAAGGAGAGAAATTCTCATGTGGTGTCCATATTGGAATCAGTCTGACTTACGTAGTGTCGAGTATCCTAGATTCTATAATCATTATGTCTTTAAGTGAATCCCTGGGACGATAGACCCGAGAAAACCTGGAAATTTCTAGACTTAGTCGAGCGGCTTCTAACTAGATATTCACCCTTTGTCATGTCTTGAAATAAAAACACACTTAAAGGCGCCTGACCTGAAGACAGAACTCGACTTCATGGTTTGAGATGTCTTGTGACAGTGTCTGTCACTGAGAAAGATGCAGATAAACCAGTTTGTTGAAGGTGCGGCATTCGTACACCCATGAGCGTGCTGGAATCTACGGTGAGTGGCTGGGTAGGTTGTGTACATCGGATGATGTCCATCAAGAATGCTCCCCCTCTCCATTTTTACGTAATTTACAATAGACGTGGTTATGGTCGGCTACCTCTCCTGTAAGTCTGAGTTTACAAGGAATGACCTTGTTAGAAGAGACTCTAGTTGACATGGAAAGAGTGAATAACAGTTTTGTTCAGTGAAGACGCTTTTGAGATGCAGGGTCTCCTGGACACATTCAATGACAATCTGAGGATGTTATTTGGATGCATTTTTATTATGTAACTGTAAATTATTGTTTTACGACTAGTTCATGTTGCTGCTTCGTCTAAAAGTAGGGAAAAAAGTGGTTGAGCTCTTTGACCACTTTGCTTACTTGGGAAGGTGTATCACCCCTGGTCCGTCAGTGGTTGATTAAATCTCCGTATGGATGGAAGAGTCTCAATTGGTGTTTGCCAACTAACACCATTTATGACGCCACCGTTATCTTTCATTGTCTATTACGAGTCGACTGTACTATGCTGTGGCCCAATGTTTTCTAAAATATGAATGTGAAACATGGTCAGTGAAAGTAGAGAATATAAGAAAGCTTCAGGCTTTTGACCGCAACTGTTTTCATGGCATAGATCGGATATTATGGTGTCTACACTTCAGCAAAGTAGAAGTCATGCGCAGAGTTTTAGGGAAAAGATGAAAGTCAGTTGATTGGATTGTGAACCTTTGTCGACTCAGCTGATTGTAAAGTGTGTTATGCATCCCTAGTCTCCATCTGCTCAGTCAAAGTAGGTCGAGGCTGGTAAAAAGTTAGAGATGACCAGAATAAAAGATGGCATGAGTCTATGATACTTTTGACTGTTGACCTGAAGCATGTACGGAAATGTAGACTTCCTGGTTGTGGTCTACGTGAATAGTGAAAGCGATCGATGAAGAGTGTAGACGACATGGTTTAGAGTCGATCTCAGTAGCTAAGATGCATCTGCACATTGCCTTCATCTTGATGATCATACTGTATTTCACAGTTGTTTTATCTCTACCTCCTTTTTGACCCTCTTCAACCTTTCATTATTTTCTTTCTTATTTCCCTACCTTCCGATTTGATATGTTGATGTAACGTGTGACAAATTGGACCGTTATACAGTAATAGGAAGTCTAAAATTCATGCTGACTGACTAACTGGCTGTATTTCGAGCTTGTATAACTCTGTGCTGAATCAGGCATTTTGCAAGTTTAAAAGTAGCCAATGTAATCAGTAAACCATGATACGATGTATTATGGCTTCCATTTGTGGCGGATGACATTTAATACTTAGTAAATAACGCTTGGTTATCCAATGGATTAAAGAAAATATCAGTCTATTATTGTAGCGTCATTGAGATGGTTCATGGAATACTCATTGCATCATCACTCCAACTCATCATGAAACAGTAATAAACTGATAGCTCGTTAATTATGGCTAAAACATCTGTTTGTTAACGGAAACATATCGTGAACTGACAGAAATGGGAAATACGGACCATTGGATTCCGACCCAGTGGCTTAGTGGTAATGTGCTGGCCACGGAATCTGAAGTTCCTGGATTCGATTCCTGTCGGGCTCATGAATGTGCACTGCTGAGCAGTTCCATACTAAAACGAAACACCTGTCCACTGCTCACAAGTTTCCAATGTTTCTCTAACTGATATCAGTCCATGATGAATACCAACCTGAAATCAATAAATCCCCACAAGCCTGCAAATTGGAACATTAGAACTATGAGTAAGCTTATAATAAAATCCTTCCCCTTTTATCTAAACCCTTTGTCGATCCATGGCATATCTGTATTGATTAGTCAATGCCCTACCGGTGTTTGCTCAGAATAAATCAGTGTTAATATTGGATCTCCTGTGAAGATAATCAATTAGTTTTACTGAATGTATACGTCAACGTTCTCAAAACTGATATATTTTCACAGTGAGAACAGGATTTGTGTAAACAAATATTTGGTTATACCATATTTTGGAGTAAGTCATTAGGATTGTTTAGTAAAGCACAACACTCAAACTGAAACACTATAAAAGGTAGATGAGTTGCGCTTGTTTATTTAAGAGTGCAATTCAAGTGTATTTCTGTACAGAAGGAAATCGATCCATCTGAGTAATACACAAAAAAATAAGGTCAAATTTATCTGCTTTATCCTGCAGTGTTTTTACTAGCTGTATGCTTCAATGAACCAATCTAAAGGGAGTGGAATTTACTTGTCACAGTAAAAATCACTGTCAAACAGGAATATCCTTTTACAACTGGCGATTCAGCGTGAATTTTTTTTGTTTCAATCATTTTTGCCTCCCAAATCTCTATCATACGTATAAAGTCAGTCATAGTAGAGCAGATACACTATAATGCTAACTTTTTACAGTTACTGATGCATCAATATTGGTGACGTTTCAACGGATCAGAGTAGACGGTGAACTAGGTAGGCTGAGTGATAAATAGCTTCATAAATCAGCATAAATTAAGATCTTGCTTTAAGCACGCTCTCTATGATTAGTAATAACAGCTGTTAATTACCCTTTTTATCTGTTATGATCATTTCCAGTACAATAAAACGTATACGCCAATTTTAGCTACAAAAAGAAGAAACCATGAGATCAATACTGAATAAGGTTTGTAGAGTGTTTTGGTGGTGTTGCTTTCCCTGAGCTAGGTGGTTTAATCGTGAGGCCTTCACTGTCATTCTTGGCAATATCATCAGCACTAACTTCAGAAAGAAGTGGGCTATAAGGTTGTATCTATAATTTATTGAGTAGCTTTGTGTGTGATTGGTTGTTTCTCCCAAGGTCTTGTGATTATCTCTCTCATTGGTTAATAGATTTGGTGAATGTCAATATATCTGTTGATCGCTGACTGACCTGAACATCAAGCTTCTAAACGTTCTTTGGTATTCTTTGTATTCCTTATATTCAGGATTTCCACATTTTTCAAGTTAATTCATATCCACAGTTGTTGGTGTACATTAAAATGAGCTAAGGTACGTTATGACGCTTCACTGCTAGTTGACGTTCATATTGGCTGACAAGAAGACGGCAACCAGTCTGTCCCATGCAGTGTTTTTACGGTTTCTGTAGTTTATTTTATAGAGAACACTTGGTTTGCCTTTTGGCCTGCATAACAAAGAGCAAAGATATTTTGTAGGCTGGTGAGCCACAACGATCCCAAAACTCTTCAGTAATCTAGCCGTTATCTTGGAGATGACTTTTATGTACGACAATCCGTTTCTTGCTTTTCGAGGCTGAGTTCTTGGGTAACGACAAATTACGCAAACTTTTTTTGATGAAGTTGAACGGATAGCCGTTCTTCTGGAAAACGGTCATCAAATAGTTTTCCTTTTTCTTCAAGGTTGATGTACTACCATGTACCTTTTTTCTATACAAGTGATTTCATGAGCTGTTTTGTCGTAGCTTTTACAGTTGTGGATTTGATGCGTATGCGTTGATTTTCTGTATACCTCAGTTGTAACGTATGATGACATCATGAATAGCTTACAGTCCTAGGCTGGGGCGATACTAAACAAATCTGTTTACATTTTTAAGCTAACTACCCACAAAACGTTGTCAGAAATCCGTTTCAACTGAACGGTGTAAAAATGTGCCACGTATGTAGTTAGGTTCAAATGTTTAAGGTTTGATCAAAGAAGCTTTTAAAGAGGTAAATTAGCCTTAGCAGCAAAAATTGGAGACTGTAAGTCCCCCTATTCCCTCTGATATCCTGTGCTTCTTATCATGGCTTTCCAGCCCTACTAATGTCTTATCCAAACAACTGATGTTGAATATTTTTCATGTACTGCTGATCAATGTTTTGGGTTCAACAGCTTACAACAGGCACACAATTTGATTAAACTGTTACACACTTTGTCACAAATTAAGACAATTAAATCACTGAAAGTGTTTATCATTCAAACTGTTTCGCATGTTATTAAACCTGACAATATTATATTACTCTGGGATTCCCTAACAGATTGGAATTACTCGCATTTTAGTGATAGCTACATTTAGTCTAACCACTTCCCAAGCCCACCTAACTAGACTCTCAGAGTGATAGATCAACCAATCCATCACATAAAGATCTATTTCACCGATGCTAAAAGATAGCTATTGAATGACTGACAGGACAAATTCAACTAAACAAAATCTACTCAGTTTTGTTGATTAAACATTGGTTCAATTTAATACTTACTTTGATCCACTGAAGATAAATCACTGATTGGACAGAATATACCTCGTTTCGCTGAACATTGAAAATATCTTATCCCATTTATACTTCCATCATGTTTACCAGAGCTGGAATCCAACACAATACCTTCATAATAGTAATAAATGAAGGTGAAAAAAGTAGTTAATCGGTCAGTTTACCGATAATCAGTGAATAAAATTCCAACTTTTCACTCGGAAGTCTGGTTTGAGCTTCTTCAGAGAAATAATCAAAATTAAAATATCAAGGATATACATAAATGAATAAAAAAAAACATGTATTTAATCTCCTTGTCCAATCCTCTTCGTATAGTCGTCTTTCTAAATTGTGATAACTAATCCACTCAGAGTGAAATTGCATGTCTCTTGTTATATGGTGTATAGGTATGTATATGTATGTATGTATGTTATATATGTACTCCAATTCATATCTGTCTTGATTGTAAATATCAGACGAAAAGGACACTGGTGACATTATAGTCATTCGGTAATTTTATAAGTACAATGGAATGAAGAAGGTGGATAAGCATGCAGTTTCAGTTGGGATATGGCGATGAATAGTATTAACGAATTTTTCGTTGATTTACCGGAAAAAGAGTGGAAATGAGTAATGATAATGATGGTGGTGATGGAGATGATGATAGTAATAGTGAATCAAAGAAATCCAGATTGTGTTGTTGTTGATACAGAAATAATGAAGTTGACACTGGTGTTGACGCTAAATGCTTTGAGTCACTCTTTTTTTGCTTACTAATTGCTAATTGCCAAGAGGCAGCTAACTGTACTCTATCTCGTCTGTTCAAACTGTCTGGATTCACCCATATATGTAGGGCTTCGGCCGTCAATCTTTCTTGGTATGACCTAAAAACTTTTTGTAGAACCTTAGTTCCGTCACAGTTAATTTTGTGTCCCATCTCCATCCATGATTGTGGATTTATTTTCTAGTTTCTTAACCTCTGTTGAGGTTTTCGGGATCTGCTTTAAGCATAGTTTATGCTCACTGACACTCACATTTACCTGCCTGACTGTTTCCCTTACATATACTGCAGTACAATCTCCGCATTTTATTTCATAAACGCAGTTCTGTTGATTTTCTTTAGGTACTACATCTTTAACTTTCATTAGGTTGGAACATAGAGTATTCGTTGTATGAAAGTAAACTCTTATGTCGTGTTTGTTGAGAATTCTTCTTTAATTCTTCTGAAGTCTCCTTACGGTATGGGATTATGACAGTGCTTATCCAGTTCTTCTGAGGAAGGTTCGGCACATCCTTAATTTCATTTTTTTTGGATTGATTTATATATCCTTAATATTTTAAATTTGATTACTTTCCTTTGGCAGTTTGGACCAGACTTCCGTGTGAAACTCGCTGTACTTACACAAATATAATCTACGTCTAATATCAACCTTTTACTCAGCACCCAATATTTGCCATACTATACGACTAAATCTTGATCATAGTTTATATAACTAGTGAATAAGATTTAAAAAGTATATCTTCTTATTGTTAACACAAACCCTGGACTTATTTTAAATGTAAGACGTAATATAAAATCAGGAGAACGATTCATACGTAAAAAATGTTTGTATGCAAGTTAGCGAGTGAATACGTATGTACTACAAACATTTTCTGACAGTACAGTAGTTGTAGTAACAATAATAATCACAAATATGAAAAATAGTTAAATCAATACTCATGTTCACAGTTGAGGCACTTTATTAGGTGTTTTCAATAATCAATAAATTTAATTTTGAGTAACTTTCATTATATTGCTTGTAAATATGGTGAATGGAATATTGTGTACACGATTAATGTAATTAGTTACAAGTATTTAATGAATTCAGTGTAAGAAGGTATTTAATCAAGGTCAAAATATCGTCCTCAGCATTAGTGAAAGTCTACCAGTTAGCAGATTATGTCTGTAATCTGAATAGATCAGTTAGTTGATTAGTGTACCTGAGCTTTTCTTAATTGAGTAGACCAATCTTATTTCAATGCAGAAATGATCCAGCCAAGGAATTTTCGATTATTAAACTGAAAGACGAATAGCTGAACGTTGCTCTTACTTTTATTATTACTTAGCAATTACTACAGCTAACCTCGCCTAGGTAACCAGTTCACTAGTCACTACCATGTCCTAACCCCAGATAAAAAGGAAAGGTTGGACATAGGACTACCAACCCTACCCATGAAAACCAATCCAACCACTAAAGAAACTTCAAAGCACAAAGAAAGTATAAAAAATTAAAATAAAATTATTCCTCGCTGAAATTGGAGAGACGAAATGACGCCGGTTGATTAAAGCACTCGGCAAGAAGGTAGGCCGAAGTGTCTTCTCTCGATGAAAGCAAAAGTAAACATGGAGACATAAATGTCCGAAAAATGTTTGAACGTAACAAGGCTGCCCAGATTGCAAAACAGATGAGAAGGTATAGCATTGAAGTGCTTAGAATCTGCGAGGAATTTGCGGATAGAATGGAACTGGACTCTTCAAACTGTCAGCTGGAGAGTTAATAATCTACTCCGATATTGCCAGCCAGACAACAACCACCAGCACACTGAGTTTTGGAGTGGCTATCATAATGTCCCCAAGAACATCGAAGGTTCTCATGTAGTGAAAACCAATCTCCTCCTGCAGGATCGTGACAGCAAGATACAACTAGAATGGAAGGAAATTTACAATCATTCAGTGCTACGCTACGCACCTACAAATAATGCAGATGAAGAGAAGAAGTAGGAATTCTAGAGGCAACTACAATCAGCACTCAACAAGACCTCAGTTGGCGACATCCAAATCCTAAACGGCGACATGAATGCCAAACTGGGAGCGTATAACACAGGAAGAGAACCACTCATGGGTCGAGAAGCACTCAGTGAAATGAATGAGAACCGAGAACTGTCCGCAGACTTCTGCGCATTCTACGATTTGGTGATTGGAGGCACTGTGTACAAACACAAGGATATTCACAAGGCAGCGACATGGATTTCACCAGACACCAGGACACACTAATAATTAGATCGATTTCATATCAGTCTGAAGGAAGTGGAGACGCAGCCAGCCTATCGGAGACAAGATCAGATCAAGAAGGGCAGCAGATGTAGGTTCACACCACTCACTATCTAGTGCAAGGAACCTAACTTCAAAATCAAGTTGAAAGCCTTCACAGAAGTTGGTGATAGATCACAGTTCAAGTCCAACACCCAGAACAGAAACTGAAGGACAAAACTACAAGGACATCTTCACGTCAGTCAGTCATCAGGACAAAATGGGAGAATTGAGCAACATCTCTGAAGAAAGCAACGTGGAAGAACACTGGAAGTCTTCGAAAGAGATGTGGAAAGAAACCTGCACAACTGTATTGGGAGGAAGAAGAAGCAGGAAAAGGAATGGATCTCGACGGACACATAGAAGCTGATAGAGGGGAGAGGAAGATGGTGATGGTGAAGCAGAAGATGAACCAGTGAAGTGTAGTGCAGGGGGATGAACTGAATACAACCTATAAATCACTACACTGGACAAAAAAGTGAAGAAGAGTGTGTGCAAAGACAAAAGACACATCTACAACACAATGCCAAGTGAAGCAGAACAGGCTACTGGTAGGAAAGATCGAGACCTGACAACACCATATCAAATAAGCAAAATACCATCTGGGAAGAGATCAATGCAGATGAAACCAATGAAAGGTGGTGAAGGAAACCTAGTTACCAAAGGGGAGAAACAAAGGAAACAATTAACTGATAACTTCAAAAAACTCTTTAATCGACCAACACCTGCAACTCGTCCAGAAATACTATCAGCAAGTCCAGCCACAGAACTATCAGTGGACATGAACCTTCTGACAAAAGCAGAAGTCCTGAACGCCATAAAGTTGTTGAAATTCGCGAAAGCAGCACGACCAGATGGAATTCCACCAGAAGCACTGAAAACAGACACAGGGACAACAGGCGACATGCTCACACCACTTCTTTTGCAAAAGGTTTGCAAGGAAGGAAGGAAAGGTACCTGCTGATCGATTGGAAGAAGAGTGACCTAAGTGTTTGCATGAACTGGTGCGAAACTTTGCTCCCATCCACCCCAGGCGAATTATCAAACCACATCATCCTGGAGAGACTAAACAATGCGTTCTATTCAAAATACGACCGGAACAGGCTGGATTCAGGAAGAACATATCATGTGCTGATCAAATTGCAACGCGATGCGACACATCATCATAGAACAGAGCATAGAATGGAGGTCAACTCCACACCTCAACTTCATCGATTTTGAAAAGGCCTTCGACCTAGGCATCGACCGACAAGTAATTTGGCAGGCAGCTGCTTCAACACCACGGGGTACCACAAAACTTTATCAACCTCATTCAACAGCTATATGACACCATATTCCAAGAGATTAACAATAGAAAGCTGCGTGACGCCCTTGAAGTGAAAACAGGAGTAAGATAAGGCCGCCGCCTTATATCACCGATGATCTTCCTGACTGTGGCCAACTGGACTGGATCATACAACAAACTGTGAGGAGCTGTAAGAAGATGGGTATACGCTGTTTGACCGGTGAAAAGGGCCTAGAGGATTTGGATTTCACCGATGACTTATGTCCTTTGTCTTGTTGCACAGACTCGAAGATCTACAGACAAAAACCAACAAGTTGACAGAAGAGGCAGGGCAGTGAAGTCGGGACTTCCTTCAGGTGAACGTAGAGAAGACACAGGTGATGAATATACTTAACCAATAACAACAACAAGCACCAATCACCATCAACTGGAGAAACCTAAACGAAGTAGTCTCGTCCGACTACCTAGGCTGCATCGTTTCAACTACAGGTGGCGGTACAGATGAGGACGTCAAAGCCAGGATCGGAAAGACAGCAAGACAGGCCTCCCTGCATTAATCTGAAATCAGAATGGAGATCTACTGGTCTCAGCACAAAGCGTGAACAACATCCGGCTTCTCAACACTAATATCAGTCAAGTCAGTGCATCTGTGTGATGGTTGAGGGGTTTGGTGCGTTACGAAAAGCATTTCCAACAAACTACAGACATTGATCAACAGCTGCCGTCTAAGCTTACTCGATACTGAAGATCAGATGGCCAGAAAGAACAAGCAACAAGGAACTCACTGTGGGAACAAACCAACTAATAACCCATCGCCAAACAAATATGCAGAAGAAAGTGGAGATGGATTGGATGGGGCATTCACTAAGAAGACCATTTGGGGACAAGACGCTCCAAGCTAGATCAGGCCGTCAAGTGTAATCGGAATGGGAAACGTCGAGGCGAGGGTGAAACGGAGGAGATGGTGTGAGGAAGAAATGAAAGCTTGTGGGCAGTCGTGCAACCAGGTTGGAAAGACTACAGAGAACAGAGTGCAATGGAGACGTGCTACTAATGCCTTATATTCCACTAGGAACCCAAGGGACAAATAACAATGATAATAATTACTACAGCTAGGGTTTATCAGCTTAAAATGGTGTAATATTTCTAGAGAATTCTGTAAGTGGACATAAGGCCGATATACACTTTTATTTCATGATATCTCATCTCAAATAAAAGAAACCTAGTTGACTCAATATCGAAAGTAGCGGTATTATTACTGATGTATTACTATCAAATGAGTAAAGAATTGATTTACCGTCTAAATTATGCAAAACGTTTTTATAGCTATCTATTAGTATGCACATACTTACTATAAAAGATAGTAGAATAGGCTTATAATTAGTTGGGTTTTTTTAACAAGCTGCAGAACGTAGTTTTCTGAGAACCATGTGATTCCCTGATATATTTCTAAAATGTTTCTATTATGCGTTTGATAGATCTGGTTGGAAAAACGGATTAGAAGGCAAGCGATAACACTACACGTCTGTTTAGTGATGTGTAGTCTTCATCTATCTATGCCAGGCGATGACATGGTTAGTCCTGTAACCACTGAAATTAGTGTTAATATGTTTTATGATTTCAGGAAAAAACAAAAATGATGGTTGCAACAAGGAAACAATTTTCTCGACAAAGTCATTTGCTAAACTGTACATTGGTGAATATATGTATTAGAAAGGATAGAACACCCCTAAATTATTTCCTGCCTAGGAGTCGAAATACATTGATTAAAGAAAGGAAGTTACGTGATACAAACAAGGATTTGGGGTAGGGAAATAAACGTGATTACGCAACATAGGATTTTTTTTCATATGGT